AAAAAAAAAAAAAAAAAAAAAAAAAGAGAGAGAGAGACTTTACAGCTTTTGTTTTATCCTGGATGGAAGTAGAACACATTATTAGTAAAGCATCACAAGAACGTAGAAGCATGAATCCTATGTATTCAATTTTTATATGAGGACAATTAATGACAATTAATGTCACAGTGGGGGTGGGAGAAGGGGAGAGCAGAGACCGAGGAAAGGAGGAAGGGGCTGGGGTCTTGGTGTGTGACACACCTCTTGGGACCAAGACACAATTGTAAGAGGGACTTTACTTAACAGATGCATTCCATGTAACCTGGTTTCTTGTACCCTCGATGAATCCCCAACAATAAAAAAAAAAAAAATTATATCTTTTTTTGCATTTTTGAACAGGCCTAAATGAAATATACTGGACCAATGGAATCTATTCACAATCCTATTTTTAATTCAAAGCCACCAAATATGCTGCTTATGCAGCTATATCACACTCCAAAGTCAAGCTACTCATGAAAAGCTGCAAGTACAGGTGGTGCTTCTCTTTCTCTGCTCTACCTTGCCCTGAGACATCGTCCAAGGAGAGTGTGACTACTTTACTAGTCACTGCTGCCTGCTGTGGCTCGTTATTCTTAGTCTTGCTGCTTTTCTTACTCTCTGGTCTTTCTGTCATTTGAAAAACCAATTAACACTAAAAAGTGTTTATTTACCCAAACTGTTCATTTCATAGCTCCATTTTGATTATAGCTGGGTTTTACAGCCTTCTTACCAAAGGGTTTGGTGCTTTTCTCTATCTAAATACTTTAATATATTTTGAACACAAGGCTTTTTAAGTAGTATTCTTTATAAGGGTCATGTGTCTTTACTATCACATAAACTATTACAATAGTTAAAGGATACTGAGAAAATAGCAAGAAGGAATGACTAATCTTTAGAGTCATTTCTTGAGAGTAAGTTTTCATTCATAATATACTCAAGTGTGGAAGTCTGAATATGTAAATGGAACCGCTAAGGCTATAGAAGACAGAGCACTACCACCATTCTGTCCCTCCTGCATTCCCTTGACTTTCTTCACACCCAGCAGAAGAGGCCAATAGGGATGGGCAAGCAAATTCTATTTATAATGTGTAACCACTTCTTTTGTCTCCATTCCCTCTCTTTTCATCAGAGCATGCTTTTGAAACTTGAATTTAGAGCACAGTTTTTGTTCTTAAAAAATTATTTTGAGTCCACATTACTATATATCCATATAAGTTAAGAAAGCACTATTCTAACTCCTATAGTTCAAATTCAGACAGAGATATGGGACACTCACAAGGTGTCCAACCTTTTTTTGTTTTTAATTCTGCTGCACATTGGAAGAAGCGCTGTCTTGAGCCACAGATTAAATACACAAACACTAATGAAAGAGGGCAAGCCCCCCCCCAAAGGTCCATGCATAATTTTCACAATATTTGACACCACAGATAAGCAAAACAAGCCTCAAATGATTGGATGCAGCCTATGGGCCACAGGTTGGACATTCTTGGAAAGTATGAGCTTGTCAAACCTCTTCTTAACAGGTAAGAGTGGGGCGGCACTTTCAGAAAGCACACAGAATAATAAAAGGACTTGAGGATAAGAATAAATTATGCTATAATGTTTCCCAATGACAGAAGTTCTTCTGCCAGCACCTTCCACCCCTCCCCCAGCATGATTCAGATACATATCCCTGATTCCTATAAATAAGCACCATTAAATATCAAGGGACAGTCAAGTCAAACAGATTCACTACGGAACTATTTTGCCTATTTCCCTTACAAAAAATACTGCTTTAATTACACAAGCTTTAGTGAGCCACTGTTGACAGAAGAGTGTGTGTGTCTTGTTTCCAAACCACTGTGGTAAATCCGGCCTTCTTCTCAACTGTGGCAGGTCCCTCCTGTACAGTTTCACTAGCAGCTGTGCCCCCAATTCCGGACTCAGGGGGCCAGAGAAAAGGAGCATCAATAAATGCTGTATGTCTTCCTGTCCTGTGTAACCATTAAAATTCTCTTAAAGTCCATGAGGTCAACCTAGGCCTGAATGACAGATGACACATAGGTGTCCTCAACCTTAGTTTAAGATACCACACTATTCCTAGATTATCTCAGTGATCTCTAGAACCTGCCAATTTGTGGAACACAATCAGAACCTTTTGTTACTTCCTTCTGAAAAAAAAAAAGCCTTGAGTAGTTCCTTTCCCCTTGAAAAACATTTAATAGTTCTATTAATAGATTTTCAAAGACAGGTAGCTTTCACGTATAGGAGATGGTAAGGAAAAATGAAGAAGATCCAAAGAGCTTTTCAGATAAGCAAAGGACTTTCTATCACCACCTCCCATAGGAGAACTACATGTAACTGACAGAAGTTACTAATTGTGAGTGTTGGGGGTTGTGTCTGCACATGCATGTATGTCTTATTCCCTCAACAACTTCATAAAGTATCCTGGATTTGGTACGTAAAGCTATTTCTACAATGGCTCCAACCTTCTCTTTCCCTTTGCTACTGTGAACATTCTTTTTACATAAATTGCATACACTCTGCCCTAAAATATGTATCTTGCATCTTTTTGTCTAGGCAATTCAGTGGCAGTACTTACCTCATCTGGGATGCCCTCAGACGTTATATTTAGACTGCAAGCTTAGGTTAAGCAATTTGGCTATGAATAGTCATCATAATTAGCAAATCCCAAAGAACAAAGCCACCCTTCCCCCTTAGAAATAAGCTATACTTTTTAAAAAAGACTAATGGTTTGTTTTGGTTTTTTTTTAAGAGACAGAGTCTTACTTTGTCGCCCTCGAGAGAGTGCTGTGGCGTCACAGCTCACAGCAACCTTCAGCTCTTGGGCTTAGGCAATTCTCTTGCCTCAGCCTGCCGAGTAGCTGGGACCACAGGTGCCCGCCACAATGCCCGCCTATTTTTTTGTTGCAGTTTTGGCCAGGTTGGGTTTGAACCTACCACCCTCGGTATATGGGGCCGGCGCCCTACTCACTGAGCCACTGGTGCCACCCAAAGACTAATGCTTTTTTCCTCCCAAGGTACTGATGGCCATGTAGCTCTGTGATTAATAGTATTTTAAGAATAATTTAAGAGTAAGCCACTTGCTTCTTTTACTTTATAAGCATTAAAAATTTCTATTTCAAATATATATCTCTCTCAATCTAGGAAAAATTTAATAATTTACTGATCCTTCTCTTGGTGATCCACTAATGCAGCAGTTCTCAAACTGTGGGTTGCGACCCACAGGAACCGTACTAAAGGGCCGCGGCATTAGGAATGTTGAGAACCCCTGCAAAGGATTATTCAGAACACAAGATGAAGTCGATGGCAAGGCCATCGACCCAGGCTGTGAACCTGGGCAATTTTACAATGAGTTTTTTTTCCTAGTGGTCAAGCATTAAGAGGACAGTGTAGAGAATTAAACTACTTATTTTACAATTGTACTGAAAAAAAAAATCACCTTTTAAATAACTCCTTGTAGTTATTCAACAGGAATAATAAGTGAATACTAGTAGGAAAGTAGTCTTAACAGAGAACAAAACTTTTATTTCTACTGCTCCAGAAATTTAAATTGACTAACAGAGTTTCTTCATCAGATAAGTGAAAACTGCTCTATCGTTACTGAAAATAAGGTAATGTGGATGAGAATATGCAGCACTAGCAGGGCTTGATTTAAGACTCTATAAAATGAAATACTGGCTTACTCACCAGCGCTGCTTCCCAGCCCCACTGTCTGTATCTAGGATCGTGAGTGAATCGCCATAGGTACCAATAGGTTTCAATTACTTCTGGACGGAGGATGTAATACTTTTCAGCCTGCCGGACAGCCACAGCCTCCACTGCACCATCGAACTTAAATGATTCAGGACCTAGTTTTAATGCTGTAACAGGACAAAAGGATTAGATGAGTAAAATAAAAGATTTGTGCTGGATTGTTAAGAGTTTTCTCCCTTGAAAGAATAAGGTATGAAGTAAGTTTTTTTATTTTTGTTGCTGTTTGTACTTGGTACAAAATAAGTCACTTAAAAAGATCACTTGGTTTTCTTAATAAAACAGACCTATACATATTCCTATTTTCTGACACAAAATATTTCTCAGAATAATGTATATCAACATGCCACTAAATCTAACTCTACCGACAACAGTGGTAGAAACCCTTGGGAAACAAATGACACAGCCAGACGGAAGCAGGTTGTGCAGTGTGCTGTGATCCAAATAAAATGACACAGATGATTATGCTGTGCAGAAATGGTTTTTTCAAAAAGTCAGATAATTTTAAAGACCTTTTGATATAATACATGCACATAAGAAATTTTTAAAGCTTAAATCTTGAATTAAATTTAGTTGTTGTATAATATATAGTTTTAAAGCAAAGTATAATTTATAAAAATGACATATTTTAAAACTTAAACCAATTTTATACTCTCACCTATAACCCCTGTAGTGATAGTAAAGCAAAGGTTCAAATTGCCAATCACCAAGAATTCCATCAGTAACTTGCTCATTTATGCATTTGAATAGAACATGGCCATTATGCATATGTTTATTTCACCATTATATACTATTTCTTTGAAAGAGATGATATCCATTCAAGCTAGAATAAGCACTACAAAAAAGCTTTCTTAAGGACTTGGCTATGTGTCCCTTCCACAACTCAGGTGTTATCAATGTGATAGTACTAAGAGTTATGGCCACCAGGCCTCCCTCATTAATAGGATTACAGCTCTTTTAAAAGAGGGTTTACGTAGCATTTAGTTAGTTCGCTGTTTTATTTTGTACCATGTGAGGACACAGAAAGAAGGCCCTTACCGTAGCCTTGATCCTAGAGTTCCAGCTCCCCAAATTGTGAGGAACAAATTCTGTTCTTTATAAATTACCCTGTCTTGGGTATTCTATTATGGCAGCACAAAATAGACTAAGATGGACATTTTTCTAATCACACTCAGTACCTAAATCTGGGCAATATAAGGTAATCTCCCACTGGGATGTTTGGGTCATACACAATTACAACTCTCGGCTGCCACGTTTCTTTCTTCTTATTAGGTTGTACTGGTAGCAACAGTTAACAGGTTTCAAGGTCTCTCAAATGATGAGAAATGATGATTTTTTTTTCCATACAGAAAGTACAGCCCAAGATGTAATGATAATGGAACATAAATAAAATCATGCCATAAGCTATGGCTAAATTTCAGCATTACAGGGGTGACAATGATAGCTCCAAAGAATCAGAATTTAGAGAAGGTAAAAATAGACTCTTATTCACTCAGTCCCACAAAAATCCAGAAAACTAAAAACACCATAGTGATAGCAGGTAGTACTATTAAGAGCAAAACATGTGATCCAGAAGAATTAATAACCACAGTTTATTTATTTCTAAGTCTTATGGCTAGAGCAGAAACCAAGCAGGGGTTCTTCACCTGAGAGTCATGAACTCTACAGCAGGCCTTGGAAAAGGGAGACAGTGCTCTGAAATCATTTGCTAAACTGTGTGTAAAGCTCTATCTAACCAACCTTCACAGGGATATGAGCTTACGAGTAACCAAAAATAATATGTTGTTAAGGAAATGCCTATCCAGCTTAATGACAAGGTCTGGTACAGTATGAAATAGAATTTGGTATTTAATAAACACTTTAAAAATGATTATAGAAGCTTATTTCTTTCTATGCTATCTTACTGTTTGGATTACTATATACAGTAGAACCTCTGTACACTGACCACTCAAGGGACTATAGCGAACTGTTAACATACAGAGGTGATCAACATAAGGCACCAGGTCTACTGTACTGTTAAGTACATGAGGTGCACATCTGGTCTGTGAAAATTAGGTCAACTTAAGGAGGTGGTCAATGTAGGAAATGAAGGTTCCACTATAATTTGAAATCAAGAAATGGGATGCCTCCAGCTTCTTTTTTCTCAAGGCTGCTATGGTTTTGGTGGTTCCATATGAATTGTAAAACTGTTTTTTTCTATTTTTTTATTTCTTGTGTGCTTTTCAGTCCCTCCTGGTTGGTTGAAAGTGAGAATAAGTTACTGGGAATGCTGCCAGGAACTTATTATTACAAAGATGGATTCTTTTTGTTTTTTCTATTTTTGTGAAATATGCCATAGAAATTTTAATAGGGATTGAACAGAATCTGTAGATTGCTTTGGGTAGCATGCACATTTTGACAATATTAATTCTTCCAACCCATAAATACGAGATATATTTCCATTTGTTTATGCTGTCTTCAATTTCTTTCATACCAATTTTATATTTTTCAGTGTATCAATCTTTCACTTCTTTAAATTGATTTGTATTTTATTTTTGATGATATCATAAATGAGACTGTTTTCTTGATTTTTTTTGGATAGATTGTTATTGGTATAAAAAATGCAATTAATTTTTGTATATCAGTTTTGTGTCCTGCTTTTAAATAAATTCATTTATTAGTTTTTATAGACTTTTTGTGGAGTCTATAAACTAATCCTATTTTAGGATTTTTCTACGTGTAACACTATGTCATCTGCAAGCAGAGATACACTTCTTTCTCTGTTATCTGGATGCCTTTTCCTTGGATGATGCTCTGACAAGATGTACTATGTGAATACAAGTGGCAAGAGCAGGCATCCTTGACTTGTACCAGAACTTTGAGGAAAAGTTTTCGGGTTTTTCTCCATTGATTATAAAGTTAGCTTTGGCAGCTTCATATATGGCCTTTATTATGATGAGGAAATTTCCTTCTATACTAATTTTGTTGAGAATTTTTATTAAGAAAAGATGTTGAACTTCATCAAATGTTTTTCCAACATCTAATAAGACACTGGCATAAAAAATAGACACACAGACCAACAGAACAGAACAGATAGCCCAAAAATAAACCCAAGCACAGTTTCAATAATCCATCAAGAAGACACAATAAGAAAAGGGTAGTTGCTTCAATAAATGGGGCTGGGAAAATTGGATATACAAACAGAAGATTAAAGTTGGATTCTTATCTTACAACATACACAAAAATCAACTCAAACTGCATTAAGACCTAAGGAAAGGAAAGACTTGAAACTCCACAGCATTCCTAGAAAAAAACACAGGAGGAAAGTGCCTGACCTTGGAAATGATTTTTTGGATATAACATCAAAAACTCAGGCAATGAAAACAAAAATAAACAAGTGGGAGGGACTACATCAAACTAAGAAGGTTCTGGACAGCAAAGAAAACAACAAAATGAAAAGGCAGCTACCAAAAAAGACACGAAAATGACCAATAGGCATGTGGAAAGATGCCCAACATCACTAGTCATCAAAGAAATCCAAATCCAAACCACAATGAGCGATCGTCTCACACCTGTCAGGGTGACTATGTACGTTGAGAGGTGTTAGTGAGGGTGTGTCTAGTTGGTGGGAATATAAATTGGTATAGCCATTATGGAAATCAGTATGTTCTTCAAAAAATTAAAAGTAAAACTATCACATGACCCAATAACACCTCTGTTGGGTATACAGCCACAGGAAATGAAATTGGCACCTTATAGAGGTATCTTCACTCTCCTGGTCACTACAGCATTATTCACACTACTTAAGATATAGAAACCACCTATGTGTCCACTGACTTATGAATGAATAAAGCAGTTATGATATATATTACACAATATTATTCAACCTTAAAAAAGGAATTATTGCCATTTGCAACAACGCAGGTGAACCTGGAGAACATCAAGCTTAGTGAGGTAGCCAGACAGAAAGGAAAATATTGCATGATCTCACTCATGTATGGAATCTATTATACAAAAAGTCAAATACATAGAAACAAAAGAAAGGTGGTTACCAAGGGTGGAGGGGAGGAAGAAATGGGGAAAAGCAGATCAAAGGGTACAAACTTGTGGTTATAGGTGATAAATAAGTCTAGAGAAAAAACATACAGCATAAGGATACAGTTAATAATATTGTATTACATGCTGAAAATGTGTTAAGAGATTAGATTTTTGGTACTCATATAAACATTAAAAAAGTAATATGTAAGGTAATAGATATGTAAACTTGAATATAGTAATTATTTTATGTAAAATAGAGAACTAATTTAAATTGCACACAAACTTTATGGACACTCTGTATGTATTAATACATTATGTGGTATACCTGACATTTATACAATTAAAAAATAAATTTTAAAAAGTCAAATATCATAAGCACTGAGAGGATAGTAACTTAATAAAGAAGTAAGGTAGTTCATTTTGTCTGGATTTGCCCTTTCTTCCTCAGACTACAAGTGCTAAGAGATGACCAGATGGTATTTTCAAATGTTAATCTTAAGGTTAATTTTAAACTATGATAGATAACTTCTGCAATTATGAGAAAAATCACCTGCATTGGAGTCAGATTTGGCTGTATAAAACTAATACAGGATATTTTTATTTTTTATTTTTACATATACATGTGTTTACTAGGTTTCCACTTTTTGCCTTCACGAAATCAAAAAGGCTTAAAATTTTTAACAACAATAACAATGTTTAAGATAAGGACTAGAAACAAAAACCTCATATAAGAATGAATGAAGATAAATACATTCATAAAAGAAGTCAGACAATTGCTGCAATGAAGTATTAAGCAATGTAATAATAGTAATGCAAAGAAAGTAGCATTCATATTGTCAAATAAGAATATGTCTATTATAGAATGCTTTGACTCTGAGGTTCAGTATAGAGTCAATCAATTAACTTCTTGTTATTTTTTTAACCAAAGTCTCAAAAAATAGACAATATTTATAAATAAAAATAAAAGATAATCTCAAAAAACAGATCATGCCAAATCTTATAGACAACAGAAAGAGAAGAAATACTTCAAAATCATTCTGCTTAATCTGGATACACCTGATAACTGAAACTAGAAAAAATATATTATTATAAA